CTCAGATCCGCTCTGCCATGGCACAGAGCGCCAAGCGCCTCACCTCTGCCTCAAGGAAACCCCCGCTTGGGCCCAGGCAGGGTGTAGGAAGCTCGCCCCCCCACCCCAGCCGACCCACGCAGGGCACTTTGTGCCCGAGAGCTTGTCCAACATCAATCCCAATTGCACAGTTGGTTTAATAAGATCTCACCAAAACCCTCCTGGCTGCTCACACACTATCCAGGCGAGGTTGCTTCAGCCCTACCTTACTTCTAGGTCTCCTCTCTCAATGGATCAGCTGGCTGAGAGCACCACCTTCAGGCCAGATCGGGCTCATAGGAAGGGTTCGTCTCTGCCTTCCTATCCCTGGAGAGAGACAGCTGCAGTCACAAACACAATCCAGCCTGCGCTGACATCGATTGCTCCGGTCCAGGCGCCGCAATGCTTCCCTTGCTGCTCACATCAGACACCACCTCGGATCAAAGGCACAAGGAGAGATCTTTCAGTCTCCAGGGAAGCCGGAGCAGAAGAGAGCGCGGCTGGCTCTCTCATAGGTTCAGAAGGGCTCTTAATAACATGTTACTGGAGCAGCATCAAGGTCCCCTGGTCAGGACCAATGCCGTGTTGTGCTAAGCACTGGCTGTCAGACTCAGCACTGAAATTCAGGTCCCACGGACATGCCTGCACACTTACATACGGTGCCTCTGGCTGGAATCACACAAGCAGGCACAAGACTGGAGCAGGGGCTGAGCAACGGAGGAGTTGCTGCTAATCTCACAGCCAGACAGGGAGGGGAGTTCGGGCCACTACAACCAGATCCACCTCTGCCACGCAGGAGACAAATCCTGACTGCCAGAGGCTGCAGGCAACGTGGTCACATCTGCCTTGGAGAATACGTATGTTGAGTTACAGAGCATGAAACCTGCAGAGAGAGGCACCTACCTTGAGCTCAGCCTGCCGGCCGTGCCTGGAGCAGCGGAGCGTCCCTGCGTGATGTCAGGCCCATGCTTGGGATCGATTTCCACATCCACCGAGGTTGTTCTATGTCAGGGCGGCCAAGCTGTGGCACACGGCAGAGTAACGGACAGACAGGCAGCACAGCAGCAGATAGGGCAAGGAGCAGAAAGCAGAGCAGGTCAGGCAGAGGAAAGGGATGGGAGTTGATGGGTTGGTCAGGAACAACAGGAACCCCGGGAGAGACGGGCGATGGGAAGGATTTGCACGGGGCTCATATAAGCTTACTCCCAGTGAAACACCCCAGACCCCCCTGGAAACCAGCTGCCTCCAGTTCCCAACCTGGCAGGAAGGGCCCCTCCTGGAGCCAGCTGTACTGCATAGGCTGGGGTAGAGCCAGGCTCTTGCTACCGCCCCACTGGCTCCTGGTCCCAGCACCCCAAGATGGATCCACGCCCTGGTCTCCCCACCCCACAGCACTCCCTAGCAGATGAACAGTTGGAGGCAGCCAGAAAACCAGTCACCATGCCCTCCATCTTCCCCAGAGATCTACCAGGTCAGGAACCTCCCTTTTCCGCCCACCTGCTACATCTCAGGGCCCTGACGTCCCTCTGCGACACGGCGCCTCTCAGATGTCTTTAGCTTTTCACAGCCCAGGCCAAGAGCCTCCTGGCGCATCGTGTGTCCAGTCTACTCTGCCCTGATCAGGTCCTGGTGATGGAGCAGGGACCGAAACCGCAGCATCCTGTATGTTAGAGACACCTGGTGCTCTCAGCGAGGGCCCTCGTTTGGCCTGGTCAGTCCACCACGGGCACTCCCAGGGCAAGGGACGGTCCTTCACCCACAGGACGGGCAGGGAGGCCTGGCTACTTCCCACTCACAGCAAGAGCCACCTGTTACATCTGACCTGTCCACTGCCCCTGCCTGCCTCCCCCCACAGGGTACCAGCACATTTGCTGCATCACTGATCCCTGGACTCCTTCCCCTCCCTGCCCTGCAGTCCCCACACCTGCCCCCACCCTCTCCTTAAGGGTTGAGATCATCGTGGACTTCAGGGCAGACCCCCCCGACCCTGGTACAAGCAGTGCCTCTGATGACTGAAGGCAGCACAGCCGCTCCCTTAAAAGTACTTTTATTAAATAGTTTAAAAAAAAAAAAAAAAATCCAAAACAGAACAAAACAACCCCCAAAGCAGCAGGAAGAGTTAAAACTACCCCCCACCCTTTAAAAACAACCCTCCCCCCCAGCTTGTCAGTGCAGCCATGATCCACCCTGGGGCACCCTTCACCTCTGCCCCCTTCCCCATGAAGGAGGGCCCAAGGGAGGAAGGGAGCTGCTCCAGCCCAGGTTGTGTATGCTGGGATCTCAGCCCCTGGGCCCAACGGGCTCCTGAAGCGCAGGGAAGGGGCTAGTGGGAGCAAGGACTGTTCCCATGGCTTGTAAAGGGGGGGGGGTGCGGAGGACCACAGCAGCCCCTGCCACCTCTCCACCCAACAGGCTGCACCAGCTCCACGTAGCCACCCCCAAGCTGTTTCTCCCAGGCAGGGTGCAAGACCAATTTCACCCCACGGAGACATCCCCTCTCACTCCACCCAGAGACGCCGGCTTCCACATCCCGGCAGATACAGAAAATACCTCAGTGAATCCCCCCCCCCATCCCTCCCCCCATATAAAACAGGGTTATATTTTACAAAGACAGCGGTGGTTTCTCTTGCACAGCAGCACAGTCTCCCCGTGAGGTAGAGCGCGAGGGCCGGGGCCGACCGAGCCGAGATTCAAACCAGGGCATCTGAGCCGAGGTAAAATTCAGGAGTTTATAAAGGAGCTTTGGCGTGGGCAGGGGGACGTCAGGACTCCTCATTGCCAGAGTCATCCTCATCGCCGTAGCAGCTGTCAGCATCGTCGTCGTCCTCCTCCATCTCGTCATCTTCGTAGTAGTCATCGTAGAAGAGGTCCGAGCCCTCATCTGGGGCTGGCGTCTTGGTCTTCACGCAGTACTCAGCCAGCGTGGTGGGCACCTTCACACCGTCCCGCTCTGCATCCACCTTGGTTCCCAGGACTTGCTTCCTGCAAGGGGCCAGGAGCAGTGAGAACAGGGTTGAGGCAATAGCAGCGGAGGGATCATAGGTATTTATAGGTTAATCCTGGCATAGGGTGCCAGGCAGGAGCCTGAAGTCTTTGCAAGGTGTCACAGACTGCCTGGCCAGGACTGCCCCAGGCACCATTATCGCAAGAATAGTCTAGATGTGGGTGGACCGGGCCTTGAAGCAGCCTCGACTTCCCCCTCCCTCAGTGAGGCTTCCCCAGCCCTGCAAGAGCCCAACCCCTTTGGGCAGGAAGGTGGGCACTGCCCTGCTACAGGGGACGGGCTGTTGCACGTGCAGCCAAGATGCAGATGGGGAAAGCGTCTCCCCCACCTCCGAGGCTGGGCAGACCGGGACTCATGCTACAGCCATCCTTCATGGGGTGATCACGTGCAGATCTGCCCATGAGATCTCAACGTCTAGGGCTGTTGAGCCCTGAATGCACATAGACCCCCCCGGCCAACCTGGCAGTCACCCAGGCCTCGCTGATCTCTACCACCAGCCTTGAAGAACAGAGTGGTGGTGGTGGAAATAGCCCCAAGGCCTTTGCCCCCATGCCCAGGTGTGAGCATCTCAGTGCCCTCCTGAGCAGTGACTTCAGCTACATGTCTCCCCAACTCATCCAAGTGCCAGTCACGCTCCCCTTACCTGATGATGTCCGTGTACTCTCGGTCCTTCCCTTTGCTCTCTTTCCACTTGCGGTACATGACCGAGGCGTCCACATTGGCCGGTGAGAACGTGTTGGGCTCGTTGAGCAGCGAGATCACGCTCAGGAGGATCGTCCTGGTGAGCACGGGTAAGGGGAGCAGTTAGAACCAGGGAGGGAGGCTCAGCAACCATCCAGGTCTGACAAGGAGCAGGAAGGCACAGCGCTACACCAGGGCCAAGGGCTGTAGTGCCTAGATCCCACCTAGTTTGCACGAGCAGTGATTGTGGGCACTGCCCACGAGCAGGCCAGACACCAGATAGAGCTGAAAGTCCATGCCAAGGAGGGGCTCTGCTAACCGCAGCCCTGCGCTCCCTTGCCAGCCTCCCCACAGCTTACCGCACGTTCTGGGTGGGGTTCCACCGCTCCGATGGCAGCTCCCCGCTCTGCGGATCATCCACTGGAGGATGCAAGATCGAGATGCAAACGTCTCCAGTCTGGAAGTGCAGGGAGACGGAGCTTAGCTGGGAGTCTCAGCCCCACAACCCAGCCCAGGAAGGGCGCCAATTCCTCCAGTTGCTCACGGCCTATGATAAACCCCTGCTACCTCTCAGCACCCCTCCCGTGGCTCTCCCTGTTTCTCAGGACATGTGCCCGAAAACGAGAAGCACCTCGAGGCTTCCCCCAGGCTTCTGAGGACTCTCAGGGCAGCCATGAAGCCATTTGCTGTGACAGATCCAGATTGCAGCCCCCCCACCCCATACTGTACCTCCACACCTGGAGACCCATCTCCTTGGTGGTCTCCAGGGCAGTTGGTGGGAGACATTTGCTCCAAGCAGGCTTGAAAGGCAGTTTAGAGCCTGACTCTGCCCAACCAGCCTTCTGGATCCTCATGGCCCAGGCAGGTGCCAGGCAGTGGAATAGCTGTGAGTCACCAGCAGACCAGCTGGGGCACTCCCTGGGCTGGCTCATACCCCTCCCTGCCTGGTACACACCCGCACAGTGCCGTCAACATGCTTCTGGCCACTATGCAAGACCGGCGGACTGCTCGTCCCCGGCTCCACCTGTAGCTGGTCATGTCCAGCTGACGGGGAGGTTTCAGGAAGGGAAAAGCCCGAGCCAGAGCAGGCCAGGTCCAGGGTGGCCGAGCTGTACCAAGCGAAGCCCAGGACATGGCTGGGCTGGCTGAGGCAGGTTTGCTCACAGCACGGGGTCCTGGTGACATGCAGGCTGGTTTCACCCAGTGCTTGGATCCAGCCCAGAAAGCCCCTTGAGAGCCAGAGCAGTGGCTGAATGGGAGCCCTCATGAGCACAGCCACAGAGACTCACCTCATAGATGTTTGGGTGCCACATCTTGGTGAGGAAGCGGAAGGCAGGCGGGGAGTAGGGGTAGTCGACAGGAAACCGGAGGCGAGCCTGCGATGGAAAGGGGAGAGGTCAGTGTCCTGGCTCAGGAGGAAGCAGGCTCAGGTGCCAGATGCATTGTGGAGGCCCAGATGAACCCCATGGATGCCCTTCAGGGCAGCCCCAAGGCTGCATCGTGGGCTGGGGCTCAGCCCCCCGACTGCCCACGTACCTCAGAGAGGATGGAAGTAATCAAGGGCTCAGAGCCTGGGGGCAGACGCTCCACCCCGGAACTGGCAGCACCAGCCCACAGGCTCAACCCTGCCCATCAACAGGAGGGTGATGACTTCCTCAAGGTGGGGGGGACCGTGTGACTGGGAGCTGTTATCCCTGGCCCCGAGCAGGGGCAGGGGACAGAGCCCAGGCTAGCTCAGAGTATCTGGGACACAACAAGTGAGCAAGGCCCTGCCATCTTGCCCTAGGGGAGGAGATGCCAAGCCCACAGGGTTAGGGACGCAGCTTGCATGACCTAGGCACATCCCATGCCCTCTCTCCCCTTAGGATGGCACAGGCCAGGCAGAGAAGACTTCTACTACTTCATAGAGAAATAAGGCTGGAAGGGATCTCAAGAGACCATCTAGTCCAACCAGGGTTCAAGTCCGCGACCTTGGTGTCACGGTCTGGGGGCAACCTGCTCCCTCCTGCCTCCCTGATCCCAAAAGGAAGATGCTCAGTTGCATCATGGCCCATCTGGACACTCAGGACCACAGGGCTTCCAGATAATGGGGGCTGCCAAATGCCACACATCGCCTCTGGGTACAGGACTGTCCATCAGACACTGGCAGGGGGAACGATGCCAGCAGGTCTGAGCTTGGGGACAGGCAGCTGGGCCCCACTGGCACAAAGGCGCTGCCCATAGAGGAAGTCTGAAGTGGGGAGAGCCATTTACTAGGTCAGGTTTGCTGGCAGTGGCAATGCTGGTCAGGGGGTTTCCGCACTCCAAGGTCAAGCCTTGTTATCAAAACTAGGCTGGTGCGTGGTGCCTCCTCCCTGATCGTTCTGCCCGGGTCCCTCCTTTCAAGACTCATCAGCTCATTTCCTTTCCAGCTCATCCAGCAATTACCCTCCTCCACCAACCTCGACACTGCCCCGGGCCACAGCACCCCGCCCCGGACATCTGGATGAGGGCTTGTTGTGCTTGATGGCCCACAGAGAAAACAACCCTCGTTATTTATTTCCTCGTGCAGATCCCGGTGTCAACACAGGACCCAGAGGACAGACCATGGAGCTGTCCCAGCCGTGGGGCTAAGCGCACTGACCTGGATCCACCTGGCAGGAGCTAGTCAAGACGCACCCTTGAAAGAACAAATGTCAGCTTCAAGGGTCTAAAATCTCCCCTCTAACTCCCACTACAAACCGGACTGGGATGGAGCTCAGAAGACAGCTTGTTCCCAGCCCTAACTGACTTCCTCCCCAGTCCATTTCCTACTGGATCTTACAAGCTGTGTCAGCTAAAGCAGCATGCAAGGCAGATCTGTTGGGCAGATGGTGAGAAGGTTAAGTGACTTGACCTGACAATGGGTGGTAGCAGTCAGAGGTCCTGGACTCCTGACTACGTCCCCTTCCCAAACCCACTGACTGGATAAGGAAAGGGGCAGCCACCGAGCTGAGAGCGGGGGCGATTTCCAAGGGCAGTTTATGCCAAGGCCTCTGATGATGAGATACACGAGCCAGAGCAAGGGCTGCCCCGAGATAAAGGCTTGAACCAAGCCATGAACCCATCTCCAAGCAACATCCCTTCCGCTCTTACTCCCCTGCATACCCTAAAAAAGCAAAGTGCAGAGGGACACGTGTCTTGCCCAATACCCCCAGTGCAGCCGAGGAAGCGCCATAGGGGTGGTGAACTCCAGGCGATGGCTCTGAAGCCGGCGTGGGAAACATGGAACAAAGGAAAACAACTTCCCTCCCACCATACGGGGCTCCACCAACCACTTGAACACGTCTGCAAAGAGACGCCGTCCCCCCCGTAATGGTTTGGAAAGGAGAAGTCTGAGAACACAAGAGTCGTACTGGCTCAGACTCCCGGTCCAGCTGGCCTAGCGTCCCATCTCCGACAGTGGCAGGGGTGGATATGCTATAGGGGTAGCGCTGAACCATGTACCTCTAAAGCAATTTATTTCCTAATTAACACCCTCCCTGGCATCTACCATTTACTGGGTTAGAGATGCCAGAGGAAACATCTCCAACCATTCACTTCAACATCCATCGAGAGCCATCTTCCGCGATACGAACCCAAGCAGCACTCGGGACGCTCGGGCTCCGACAATCAAGCTTTGGCTGCGCATCAGTTCTGGAGAGCGGCGGTAACGATCGCTTCCTCGAGCCGCTCGCACAGCCTCCAAGACGGGCGCTCGGAGCTTAACACTCAGTGATTCAAGCCCTAAAAATAGCTGGTCCCCATTGAGAACGAGACCGAGCACAACCGAGTTCAGGTGCTAAAAATAAGCCCCTGCAAATGTTGTGGCTGTGCCCAGCTGACGGCACGGCATGTCTCGTGCTCCCACGCCGGGTCCCGTGGCAGGCAGCAGATAAACAGAGGGTTAGAGCGAGCCAAGGAGAGAGATTTTCACCCTCCGGCTTCAGGACTGGGGAGGTATCTGCTAGCTGCCCGGCACCAGGAGCTGGTCTGCCTGTCCAAACCTTGATTTTAGCTTGGCAACAGCACCTCAACTGTGCCAGCGCGGCCAGGCTAAGCTGTCAGCTAACAGCAGCCAGAAGCTCAGTGCGAAATGCAGACACGGACGTCTTGTCATGCTGTGCGCGGCCTCCCCCCACAACCCCACGCGGTTCTGAACGTTGCTCCCGTGAACTCCCATCCTCAGGTGCAGGCTGGAGCCCGGCTGGCTGCAGGAAGTCAGCGCAGGAAGAGGGAGGACTACAGGCCAGTTCGCTCTACTGACGCGTTTCCATCCTGTCTTTCAACGCAGCCCTTGCGTGGCTCCCCAGGAAGTCGAGGGGTGAAGGGTGCCGGGGTTTTAAACCGACATGCGCACAGCCGGAGTACCGCGTCCAGTTCTGAGAGAGTCCCAAGAAGGGCCCACCCGTACGATCAGAGACTCGCACGGGAAAGGCCGAGGGACCTGGGACTCTTCAGCCTGAAGAAGAGAAGGCCGAGAGGGGACTTGGTAGCAGCTTACCGCTACATCAGGGGAAAACATCCAGGGCTCGGCAAGCAACTGTTCACCAAGGCATCGGAGAGGAAAACCAGGAGTAACAGCCACACTCCTGGAAGATCGGATTCAGGTGCAACATTAGGGAAAACTTCACAACGAGGGTGTCCGGACCGTGGGATAAACTCCCTCCAGAGGCGGTGCAATCACCTACCCTGGAAATCTTCAAGAGGAGACTGGACGGGCACCTCGCTGGGGTCGTCTGACCCCCAGTGATCTTTCCTGGCTGGCCCCGACGATCATCCGAGGTCCCTTCCACCCCCGACGCGCCCGAATCTACGCAGTCGGCGCGCTCAGAGCAAGCCCCTTTGTGGCGCTGGATGGGATCCAGCGCCACCCCAGGAAGGGGCCCCCACGGTACAGCCACAGGTGGGGCGCCCATGCCAGCGGAGGGTCCCTTCGCCCCCCCTTGAGCCAGGCAGCGCCCAGCAGGCCCCAGAGCTTTCTCTTCTCGCTTCCCGACGTAGCGAGGCTGCTCCGAAGCGGCTCGGGCGCCGGGCTGACTCACGGGGCGCAGCACCCGGCCGCGCCCGGCCCATACCAAGGGGAGGAAGGAAGCCTGGGCCCCCCCCCGCGGTACAGGGGCCCCTTGGGGAGCCCCCCAGCCCCGAGGAGACCAGCCCCGGGAACAAAGCGCCCAAAGGCAGGCGGGGAGGGGGGATCCCAAGACCCCTGGAGCCCCCCGAGCCGGCTCGGACGCGCACCTTGAAGTAGCCGCCCTCGTAGTAGGTGTTGGGGGGCCCGAAGATCGCCACCTCCCAGTTGTACAGGTCGCCCTCGTCCACCAGCGTGACCCGGAACCCCTCCACGGGCTCCTCCTGCAGCCCCTTCAGCTCCAACAGCAGCGCCTTCTGCGAGCTGGGCATCAGCGGCCGCGCCATGGCGGGGGGGCCCGGGAGGGCGCGCGGGGGCC